TCTTTAGTGTCCTATTTTTCTTTTTTTTTTTTAATTTCTTTTTCTGGGGGACAAAATTGGGCATTTAAATAAAATTCTTTTCTAGCAAGTAAAGAGGTTTCTCAGAGCCAGAAATCACTCAAAAGAAAGTCTGTAGACCCTACCCATGGAAAAGCCCAGAGAGTTCTCTAAATACGTTTTGCCAAACTTCCTAGTTTTGCTATTGGATATTTCTTGGTTTAGCATTGTTTGGTGCTGAATACATTTTGCAATTCTTTTGTTCTGTCCTTCAGAGCTTCCATTACCCCTGACTTCAACTCATTACTAAATTAAAGAATTCTTTTAGAAGATTTCTTTTGAGAGTCAGGTCACAACAGAAAGGGCAGCCTCCTGTTCTCCTAAATCCCAAGGGCATCTCAGGTTATGCCTGCTCTTACCTTGCACCTTCCTTTTGTTCCCTTTTGCTGCAGCAGCACACTGGCTGTAGCAGAGGCAGAACTGACTTGATTATCAGATACCTTTTCTGCAGAATCATACATCCCCTGCTCCCAGCCCCGACTAATCAAATAAAATCTTCTAGAAGAACAGAGGAAGGCTCCAGAAGGGGCATATCTAGTGTGAATCCTAGCCAGATCTGTCTCACCACCCCCTCTCCTAAGGGCAATAGGTGTTGGGAGCATTGTGGAGGAGTCCCAAAAAGGAAGCAACATGAGCCTTTATTGTGTTTACTTGGGGATCTGAGGGGTTTTACTAGGGGCATACCTCATTTTTCACTTCTGTATGGAGAAAAAACACTGAGTTTTGGGCGTGGGCAGGGCACATACTGCTGGTATGCTTGTGTGATGGAAATACACACAGGTCAAGGCATCAGGACTGAATGTGAAACAAACACATTCAGAGGAAAACTTTTCTCTTTTCATTACCAGAATGCATAAATTCTCACTGTTCATGGATTGGAAAGGGTTTTCTTGGAGAATATTGTATGATACAAAATAAAATCCTTATGACTTTTAAACAAAGCAAACCCAAGTCTTCAAGGCCAAGAGCTACTGCAACCTTTAAGATGGCTGGGAATGGACTGTGGCTGGAACATAGGAGGAAATTATCAACTATGCTTAATCATGGCACAAATAGATTCAAAGTGTTAGGACTTTGGGAAGGGAAAAGTCTATAAAACTGTTATTAGGAGCTAAAGTTTACAATTCAATTAAAATACACAGTAAAAAAATTTTGATACAGAGACTCTCATTTCAGACTTTTTTTTGTTGCCTAGCTTGTTCCTCAACCTTTCTCCATGTGTAGATCTGTATCAGATCCATGTGTTCTAATTCCTTTCTTTTTTAGGGTTATATTTTACACATTTGGGGGCTTTTTTTGTACAAATGTTGGCATTTAATAGGGAAAAATTGCCCACTTTGCTGAGATACTACCAACGTTTCTAGTGCTAGGAAATTTTATTTTTCATAAACTGTATCTAAATATATTGAAATACACATTCCCCTTTGACTTTTTTCCTTTCCCTTGTTTAGAAAATTCTGTTTTTAAATCACAAATTGCTAAAAAAAAAAAAAGTTTTTTTCCATACCAGTTCTTGTTCCCTGTATTCATCCTAAAAGGTCTTAAGTCTGTAATATTTGCTTTCATCTTTTCTATCTTTTTCCTAGCTACTAAAAGGAAAAATTTTTTAGCACTGGTATCATCCTAGCATGAGGTCTACATGTAAGAAGATTGTAAGATTTGAAATCAAAAAATAAAAAAGATCCACACTCATTCTCTGAATCTTGAAGCAAAATATGTTTCCCTATTTCTTAAGATGTTTGTGATCGTTCAATTTAAAAGTGAGGACTGGCAATCTAAAAGCATCTCTTTTTCAAATAGGTACAGACTGGTTTCTTTTCTAAAATGTGGGTCAGTTTGGAAAGCAGCCCTTTGAGAGGCTAGGCAGATAGCATTGGCCCCATGGCAACTTCTTTGTTCCTACTCCAGTCTAGCTTCTTCATCTCTGCACAAAACAATTTGTCAATATTTTAGGCTGTGAGACGTCTGGGAGGTATAGACAAACAGTAGGAATAAGTCTACTGCTATGTAAATCTGGGTAGTCTGTTTTGTCATGGACTACAATAATTATATCACCTCACCAAGAATTCTTTAGGGATCACCCCAATTTTTTTTTTTTTTTAAGATAACTTCCTTTACAGGGAAAGGATAATCAACAGGGTTTCAAATCACCTGTGGCTTTCTTCTCTACATATTCAGAAAAAAAAAAGGTGGATTTTAACCCAATTGCTTAGCTTTTTACATGGCAAATCTGCATTAAGGCAAATGGGTCTCCCTCAGATCTGAGCAGCAGATAGCTAAACGTGGCCCATAATGGCACTCAAGATCAATTTTTCTGGAAGTATTACGAAAATTGTTCCTATTTTGCTAAGGTTTAAATAAAGACACTGTTTTAAATCTACTACTGTCAAATAGTTAGAAATATTTTAAAGTGGCTTTTGGCCTTGTTTCACGTGTAACATGTTGAATCATTTCATGTCAACCTCCTTTAGATTAAAAATTTTTTTTCTTAATGTCAATCTTTTTTATTTTATGGGTGGAATGACTCGTTTTTCAAACTATCAAAACAATTTCGTGACATAGTCAATTAACTAATGCTCCCTCTATTGGTGATAAGTGGAAATATTAGAGTCTTACGACACTGATATTTTAAAAAGCAAAATTAGCAATAGAAAAATGACTGTTTCTTACTTCTGAAGCTGTTTATCACTAACTTTTACAACAGGTCAGTTTTGGACACACAGTTCTTGGTAGGACTCCTTTAGAAATCACAATGGGTAGTACTTAATAGTCAATCAACCATCAGGTCTACATTAAAACTTCTAGCAAAATATCCACTGAATTAAGCACCATAGGACCAAATCAAACTCACAAACACTCCAGTTGCACTAAGCCTACTAAATATCACAAAGAACTTATGAAAAAGATCCAAGTTAACCAAATGTCTAAAATATATGAATAAAATCAATTTAGTCATTACAGAATTGCTTTGCCTTGGAAGATTTTCCCTCATTTGCTGCATAGTTTTTGTAAATAAACTGCTCACAGGAAAATTAGAAGGAAAATTAAATTAAAATGAAAAGTAATTTTGAAACTAAAATACGCTCTCTTTTCTTCTTTCTAAAATTGCAGTTTGGTGTTTCTGCTTTGTTTAAGGATTTACTTTGCCCTTTGAGTTAAAATATGCCCAGCAATTAAATCACTTTTGGATTTTTAGTTAGGTTTAAGAATTCCTATATTTTAGTTGGAATCCCTTCAGGACACTGTCTATAATGGAAAAATCTCTATTACAATACCTTGATCAGGACCGAGGAGAGAAATCCCAACTAGGAAGAGAGAGTGGCATCTGGTATGATGCAATAGATTGGTGGCCTTTTTGGTTGGTGGATGTTGGCATCTGGAAATGTTGTTAATTTCCCTAAAATCTTTCCACAACACAAGGGTTAATAAATCCTCTAAAGAATTATCATCTTATTTAGCCCTCTTCACCATGGGGGAAATAGAAGGTGATATTTCAAAGGAAAAAAGTAATTTTGGCATCAATGCATCTTGATCTGTAACAGGCTCCTCCTAATGATGCTCTTTGTAGTTGTGAAGGGTGAGGAGGGCATGGCAGAGTTCTTTGAACTCCTCCTCCTGCCTGACCACAAAAGAAAAGAACCCATTTGTCAAGACCTCTAGACTACTAGTGTTTCATCATAGGAAAAAAAAAAAAGTAAAGTCAATAGAAATTCTAGAATCATAAGATCTCAATGAAATTTTGAAGAAAGCTGTTCCTGAAAGATAAAGTCCCTCCCATGAAAAAGAACAGAATTCTAGACGGATCAGTTGAAAAAAATATTCAGTGGAGCAACTTAAGCTTGCTAAAAGTCAAAGAACTACATATCAAAATACAAAGCAGCAATTCAAATTACAGCAGGGATGGGCTGGCCACGGAGGCCCTCGTCAACCCAGGCAATACTTAAAATAATAAAAATTAAGAAAAATTAAAAAAAATATGAAGAAAATATCCTTCCTCTCTTTCAAATATAACTTTAGTTGCCTTTTATTCTTTCTATCTGGAAGCAGTATCGCTAACCTTAACAGTCTTGACTTACCAAAAAATATATATATGTGTGTGAAATAAAATAAAAGAGAAGGGATTGGTGGCAGTGTATGCATAACCAAAACGAAAAAAAATTACTTTTAACAATTTCACTTTTTTTTGTTTTTTTTACACAAATACTGTTGTAAATATATTTAAAAAATCAGCATTCTATCTGGTAAACGTCACTTTTGCCCCTCTATAAAATTTTGAATTAGAAAAGCCTCAAGAACTTTTATTGTTCCCCCCACCCTCCATTTCTCTTTCTTTTTCTCTTCCACAAGAATATATCCTGACACTTTTTTTTTTTTGCAAAGATTGTTGGAAATAATCCTTCTCTTGTACCTAGAAACATAGGTGCAAATTTCTGATATCTTTGTTTTATCTGCATTCCTGCCTTTCATGAAAGTCCCTCTTGATTGTGCTGAGGCTGTGGCTCAGCGAAGACACTGAATAAATACGATAGCGATAGCCACTGTTGCTTGTTGCTTGTCCAAGTCTTCCTGGCTTCTGCTGAAAGGGGGGATATGGAGGAGGTGGGCCGGGGTGTGGACCCGGGGCAGAATCTGAGGGAGAAGCCTGCCATTTGCCTTTCTTTCCCACACCACCGAACCCACTGCCCTTTCCCGCCCCCACAGCCCTTTTGTGAAATCAGACAATGTGGTAGGTGGAAAACAGCAGGGCCTTTCCTCTGGGTTTTCAACCAGAAGTGATATTCCACAGTTTTAACTGCTTACTGTGAAGTCCAAGCGGCCAGAATTGTGAAAATGTCCACTGAAACACTGCAAGCGGTGTACTTAAAGACAGTAGGCCTTTTAGATTTTGTTATATATTTTTGTAGTGCTCTTCACAAGTGAAAAAAAATTTTTTTTTTTTTTACTTTTTTTAAAAGATTTTTTTGTAAATAAGGGTTGTATTTAGAGGCCAGTAGCTAGAGATCCAACCAGTGGACCTCTTGAAGCACTACCAGGCCTTAAGGCCACCATCCGAGGGAGACCGGGAAAACTATTATTCACCCAAGCCTCCAGAAATGTAATGTACCAGCAGGCAAAAAACAGTTCTTCATGTAGTACAAAATGAAATGAAACAAAACAAAAACAGAAAGTAAAAATGAAACCAAAACATTTCTTAAATTCTAGTGCCATAGCTTTTTTTGTTGTTTGTTTCTTTTTTTGTTGTTGTTTTGTTCATAAGAAAGAGAGAAAGATACTACTTATCCGTCAGACACATGCATCCTCATGTGGTCGTTGAACTGCTCGATTTGGTCAAACTTTGCTGGACAGACGGAGCAGACGTAAGTGGTCCCCTCCGTGCAGGCCACCACGCCTTGGGGGCCGGCGCGGGCACCTGGGGGTGTGCCCGCAGGAGGGGTCCCGTTGCTGGCACTGTGCAGGGCCACGTGTCGCTCCAGGAGGGTCTTGTGAGAGAACTTCTTTTTGCAGATGTAGCACTCATAGGACTTCTCCCCCCGGTGGAGGCGCATGTGCACGTTGAGGGAGCTCTTCTGGGTGAAGCGCTTGTTGCAGATGCTACACTGGTATGCCCTCACACCTGTGTGTGTCACCATGTGCTTGATAAGGTAATCCTTTAAGGAGAAGGAGCGCCAACAGATGCTGCATTGGTGGGGCTTCTCACCTGTGATACGGGGAGAGACAGCAAGCAGGACAGAGCGAGACACAGCAAGGGAGGGAGAATGAGAGACAGAAAAACAAGACAACAAAAAAGAAAAAAAAATTAAAAAAAAATAAAATCTGATTGCTTAATGGATCATCCTTGATTGGAAAAATCCAGGCTTTCCTGGCCTCTCACGTGCAGAGAAACCTTGCTTTATGGTGATGTAGGACAGTTTAGAGTTTTCCACTTCCCATGTCAGAAAATGGCTCTCTTGGAAAGCTACCAGATAGTCTCCAACTAAAAGTCTTCAAAGGTCATTCTGTGGAGAAAAGGGAGGGCTACCTTTTAAGGGAGTCATTCTCAGTGTCATCATTAGGGGATATAACTAGGCGATTTTGTGTTTCCCATTAATGTTATCAAACAAATATAAGAACTAAGAGAGAAGAAAGATCTTTGGAGATATGGGGTTCTCTAAAATCATTGAGATCTAAGAATATTGGTCAAAATGCTTGGTTCCTTAGGGACATCCCCATTTCTAGTATTCTGTCTAGTAAATTCACCTATACATTGATTGTTAAGTCTGGAAAATATTTGCCAAAATAGGAATAAGTTGTTAGGAAGAGCTACACTTTTGATTTTATCTATTTTAGACAGAAATCTTCCTAAAATGTAACTTCAGAGTCAACTGGCTATTGTGTATTGACTGCACTGAGCTGCAGACTGGGCTCAGCAGGTGTGGATGTTGAGCAGGTGATGGAAAACATGGTGATCTCAGGGGCAAATGGTCCTGTTCAAATCTCGGCACCAACACACCACATGCCACCCTGACAAATCACCAAATGCCTCTGAGGTATACAGTCCTACTTACCTCGCTGTGCTGGTGTTGACATAAAATACATATGAAATCACTTTGCAGACCACCAAGAATGGTGTGGGAATACGTGCACGGTATTCTTATTATAAGGCTATACCTCCCCCGCCCCTTGCCCCCCATTAAATGGTTCCATATGCTTTTTGAACTCTTGGGTCACTTTTTAAAATAGTTTTTCTGTCTCTTTCTTTGCTCTCAGCCTGTTGGCAGAAACCCTTCTTTCTCCTCAGTTTACTGCTTTGCTTTGTTGTTGGCTTAGAAACCAAATGATTAAGTTTGTTAGAAACAGGAAGGTAAGTAAGAATACTTAGTCACTGAATGACCACAGGAGATATTCCTCTCTAAGTCAAGGCCATGGGCCTGTGACGTCTCTGTGGATAGTTCCTTAAAGACTGGTTTTTGTTTGTGCTGTTTGTCCTCAGCTCTGCTCTTGACAGGTGAGATGAACTCTGTTAAGGTGTCTGGTCCATCTCTACTGCGTCATTACTGATTCCCATGTAGCACCCACCTCAGAGAAGAAAAGTCCTTCCACGTAACTCTTCCACAACCTGGCCTAAAGCCCAAAGCCTCTGAAACTTTCTAGGGTAATAGTTCAACATTGGAACTATGCATCCAGATGAGAAATCTACAAATTTGAGTTACCTTTCATTTAAAATATGTGCCTTGTCTGTGTTTCTTTTTTCCATTATGAAACAGGAGAGGGTGGATGTGTCATGGTAATAGCAGCAATGAAAACAATCACCACGTACTGAGTGCTTACTACGTATGCCAGGCTCTGTGTTAAGTGTGTTACATTCATGATTCATTTTATAAAACTTTCTTTCCTCAGAAAGTTTTTTTTTGTTGTTGTGTGTTTTCAAACAAAAAAGGATATGTTTTGAAGCACACTGATGGGACGGTATGATGTATAGGATCACAGGGTTAGAAGAGAAGGATTTCACTTTTAGACTGAAATGGGAAAAGTTAGGAAAGCCTCATTGCTAGTAATCTCAATGTGCTGAAGAGTTCAGTCTATGCATACTGTGCACGGTGGTAAATTTTTTTGAAATGAGAGATTCCCTAAGAGAGACAGTCATGCATGTTATTTTTAGTTGAAACATTTCTGTCAGCTGTAAATATGCTTGGAACTCAGCTGGTCTTTGCCATCCTTGTGCTTTCAGTACAATTTATAGAGGTACAATTTATATGATAGGCTGGCCAACTATCTTTTAAAACATGTACACCTGTCACCTTTAATGGGAAGTGTGCCTTAAATTCCAGATGGTATTTTGGCTGCTAGGATATTGAAACTTTGTATATGTTAAAATGTACTTGCTGTTTCAAACTCTCACCTTCTAACTGTGTGTTTTTCCTCTGGGCAAGGTCACTGATGAAGCCTTTTTTCACTTTCATACCCTTCTGATCTGTCTACAAGTTGATTGTTCACAGCTGTTATCTTTCCCTCCATTGCATTAATATATATGTGTATGTTGTCTGTATGTGTGTAGTATCAGTTCTGTTATTAATTTCCTGTGTGACCTGGGCTTTTTTAAGTGTTTTCATCTCTCTAGGTTTGTTTTGCCTTCTGTGAGTGAGGAGTTGGACCAAGCACTTGCCGCAGGGCCCTTTGCAGATTTAGCGGTCCTCAGCCAATGGTAGCCCACAATCCCCGAGGACCCTAGTCCTGGCCTTGTCAGCGAATGACCTGAGGGCAACCTGCTTAGTCACTCAATGCATTAGCAGTCCCACATTTTAAATAGGACAAAGTATCCTGTTCCCTTCCCTGCCACAGAAAAATGGTATGCTAGTTAATGAGGAAAAATGTTCGCAAAGCACTTGGGAGCTCCTTAAAGGAAGGTGCTCTCTATAATTATTAAGGTGCTGTGATGGTGGAGTGTAGGCATTTCAGAAACCGTCTTACTAAATGGGGTGTATTTTCAGATTAGTCAGGTGCCCATAATTTTCATTTCTATATGTATGAATTTGAAATAATGTCATTCAGCAGGAATGTTAATACTTTTATTTTCCATTATTTTCTTGCATATTACTTATAGCAATCCCCAAAGGCTTTCAGGCATTATACGTGAAATGATGTGGTCTGTTGATTGTTGCTCTCCAAGTGAAGAAATGAAAAGCGAAGATAAATGGTGGTAGATGGCTTTCCGGGTTTGTGCCCATGGTCAGGAATGGCAAGTCTCATTTGTTAGAAAGGGACACAAAGTACAAAGTGGATACTTAAATTATAACATGAAGGGGAAGCTTACACAAGTCTCTTCACTTTAAAATGATCCATTTTGGAGCTATACAGACGCAGCAGTCAGATATGAATTCCATTTCCTTGGCTGAGTGACTCGGGCATGTTATTCAACCTCTCCAAGCCTCAGTTTCCTTATCTATAGCTTGAGAATAATATAGTAAGTACTGTTCTGTGAAGCTGCTTAGAAAATTAAGGAGATAAAGCATTTAGTATAGAGCATGTGGTCATTTTAAGAAAAATTAAACTGTTCCATTCAGCACAAAGGAACTGAGGTTAAATGAAACCAACTGAGAAATGACTCACATGGAGTGGGGAAGCCAATCCAGAATTTAAAAAAAAAATTGTTTCAGATAATCAATAAAGCAAGCGATTATATTGCAGCTACGTAATTCAGAGTTAAGGGTATAGTCTATTCTCAATGACATATGCTAATGGAAAGAAGTGGTACCATGAATAAAATGTCAGGACATAGTATAGATCAGATTTCCTAGCAAGCTGCAATTGAGCATGGGAGGCACAGAAACCAAATAGGCGAAGAAACCGAGGGGGAGGCAGTCCTTTACTGCCTTGCCAAGGGTGAAGGGAGTGGTGAAATATATCTTTTCCTCCAGTTTTCAATGCCTGCTCTTCAACTCCTCCTCATGGACCAGCTCTGACACTTACTTTACCATGACTGACAAGTGAACAAAAAAAGAAAGAGGAAGGAAAGACACTGCTTACATTAGTAGATTCACAGTGTTTTGCCCAAAGCTTACAAGGTTCAAGTAAAAGCCGTGCTAATGGGACAAGACACCCCAGTTTTGAATAGTGACCTCTGTACTGGGTGCTCAGCAAGAACCACTTCTACTGATTCTTTCTCATTCTAACCAGGCTTCTCCTGGGCTGCAGAAAGGATAACGAATGCTATTATTTGGACGTTTTCCAGAAGCAGTTCCTACTTGCCTCTCCCATTCTTTGTGCCTCTCTATTATCTGCCTAGCACAATGCTCTTCTCTTTGGGCAAGTACAGTGAGGAGTCAAAAAACAAAGACAGAATGCTTGGTGGGACAGCAGGCAGCAAGGAAGGAAGAGGAGGAGAAGAGGAGGAGAAGAGTATGGACAGGGGAAGGTGGCCACTGGTGCGGAGAGTAGAAGGGGTGCTTGAAAGAGCAGGTCCTCTGAACGGGGAAAAGCAAGATTGGATCTCAAAATGGAAAAGGTTCGGTATCAACATTGGAAGTATGCTCGGATAGAATTAGATGGAGCTTTCACTGGCTGCTGAGTTTGGTCTCCACCGAAAGAAGTCGGGTTAAAGGAGGGCCCACACACCTGAGATACAGCTGGTGTGACTGCCTGCGAAGCTTTCCATGCAGTTCTTGGGGTGTGCCAGCTTGGCCTGTGAAGCTATATAGAAGGGATTGCCTACTGGGGACACACTGCATTCACAAAACACATACAGTTTCTGAAATGCCTACACTCCACCATCACAGCACCTTAATAATTACAGAGAACACCTTCCTTTAAGGAGCTCCCAAGTGCGTCAGTGACACCTAAAATATTTTGGTGTTAAGCAGAATTTTGAAGAATTTTATACACATTATTTGACTTTTCTTATAACTTTATAAATGGGGTAGATATTAACATCCCCAGGTGATGGTATCTCCAATTCGAGAATTGTACTAACAACCTGAAGATCGCCTGTCAGTAACAGCTGACAGCATGATACTGGCCCAACCAGATTACCCTGCTCCCCTGTTAACAATTCCTTGCTTTCTGGATTATGCTGCAAAATGTATGATGTGGCTATAACATACACAGCATATATGTTCCTAAATGGCTTTGATAATTTTACAGCATCTATAGTTAAGTGCTCTCACACAAATTATGTTAATTCTTAGAGCAATCATATAAAGTACTACAGATCTGAAAAATTGA